TTCTTTAATTTTGTTTCTTCTTTCGCAATAATTTTTCACACACACACACACACACACACACACACACACACACACACACACACACACACTCACACCAGCAATAAAGATGAAGTAACATTCATGTTAAACTAATACTGCTTTCATTCAAGTAGAGAACAATTTCTAAATGGTCTTCTTATTCGTATAATTTTTATATAATAACAATTGTAATTATAATAATAAGGGTAATAATTATAATTATAAACAAATTTTGTAGCGCCGCACGCACAGTCGCTTCAGCGGCGTCAAAAATAAATGTTTTCCAAGTGATTACAGTTATTTGTACAATCTATAATATTATTTGCAGTTCATGCAGATTTTTTCATTTGAAAATTTTCATTCAGTAGATTGATTCTTAAAAGAATATTCACCAACATATGAATACTCTTCCTCTCTCCTTCTCTCTCCCGTTCTCTCTCTCTCTCCCTTTCTTTCTCTTTCTCTCTCCCTTTCTTTCTATCTTTTTTCTCACCCTATCTATCCATATATCTTCATCAATCTTTCTTCCTTCGCACACACACAAACCTAACATTTGTAATATAGATTATGATAGATACATACAATCTACATGTGCACGTGTGCTTAAAAAAATGGGATTTCTTTGCCTTTGATTAGAACGCTGTAACAGCAGTGGAGGTACTCCTCTCAGACCATCCCAACTCGAATGTGTGTATTAAATTTTAAATTATTATTCTTCCTCGGTTGATTAAACATACCATATATAAAAAACCATGGGATTTCCTTTAAAAAATTATACATTTTTATGAACAAGAAATGATGTACTACATGAATGATAGTAGGGAAGTACCAGCATAAACCACTATACCAGCGTCACATTTCCAAAAATAATTGTTTATTAGTTTGGGTCTAAAAATTAAAAATGATAAACATTTCTGTTTACAAACTGAGTTTTTCTTACTTTTTTTAATAACAACACTGCTCACAACGGATCCACTACTGTATGAAATACGATCTTATTGATGTGTGTTACAAATGATCGTTTGTACTACGTTCAATGTGTTTTTTTGATTTTAACTGGGTGAAAATTCTTTCTTTATGTATATTTTTTTCAAATTTTAAGTGGTTTTATTGAATAAAAAATTTAATTTGTAAAGAAATTTTATTGATACCAAATAATGCTTGCTCCTCTGTCGAATGAAGATTGTTTTATTTTTAGGAACTGTAGAGGTATCTGTTTTCAAGATGATACGAATATGTCTTGACTACATTTCAAACTGAACAACACAAAATTTATTGATCAAACACGCTTGTCAATTAATTTTTCAATAGAAATTGTTAAATAAACGTTAAATATTTGCTTTGTTAAAAAACAAAATTGATGGTAATGTGAGAGTTCAAGTGAGATAGAGTCTTTGATGATTAAATATTAAAGGTCATTGATCATTCCCCGATGCGTTTGAAATAAAAACATCTTCTGGGCTCTGAAAATGATTTTTATTTTGTTCGGTGGATTATTAATGAGAGTTAAGAACAGATGAAAAATATAATAACGTTTCGCAATATTCAAGTGTCCTGAAATTTTTTTTTTTAATGTTTGCAGTTACTTAGTTTTTCTTATAAAATTAAAAATAATATTTATTTGAAAAATGAATTTTAAAATTAAAAATCTTAGCCACCAGTTTGATTTCTCAAATTCGGAAAGAATCTCGCAACCATTCTAACTCTGGCGGGTGTTTGGCTCGTTAATTTATCATCAGGTAGAAAATTTTCCAACCTCAAGTCATTCAACTTTCCAACAGCCCCTTCAGATAGAGGTATGCCCCAATATCTGGCCAGTGGAGCTAAATTAAAATTACACTTTTGGGAAAAAATAAAAAACCATTTATCAATTTTTTCCTGATTGTTTTTGGGCCTTTCTGAGGCGGATAAATTTTGATAATGACGGAAAACTTGTTTGTATGTTGTCCAGTTGAAAGCTTCTACCAGCTGAGCGTAGATTATCAATGCTATTCCAGGATTGCCCTTCCAAACATTGAAATTCGCACCTTTGTTGATGTAATCAACTGCTCTGGCGACGAAATTATTCAACCAAGGATTCCTCCAGAGATCGATGCCGCCAATCTTTTCCACGCCGTAAAGTGCAAATATGTTGCACGTGACCTCCCCAGTGCCATCAAACGTCCATTCACTCAGCTGCATGTTGTGGCCCAATTCGTGGAAGATACCCCAAAATTTCCAAGTATCCCTCCTCAATCCCGATTCGTTCAGTAGGAATCTATCACTTCTCGGATTCGAGACATCCAAGTGGGTTACGATTGGATAGCCTGCATGCATGGCGCCGTTTGATGTTTGTTTGTCGGTAACTACCCACATCTTCCTCTGCCTGTCGATGTCCGTTCCTCTTAAATTGTGGTAGTGCTGGAGTAGAGTGTCGTACAACTGCGTGACAGGACCTGGGTCTTGCAGGTTTCTTACGCTGGAGGATGGCAACGTGAATGTTATGTACTTGCCTGATATATCCGCCCACAGTCCTGCAGAGTTCCTGCTTGCATTCCACGAGTCTTTAATTAAACTGTTCTGAGAATCGTACCTGGGAGACGAAACAACATTTGAAAGTAGAGCTTCTATGCGACTTATTCCACTGGGACTCACAAACACCACACTGCCTCCGAAATATGAAGATATGTCGTACAGACCAACAGACAAAATTATTATCTTCCTGATTGCTTTCGGCCAACGCTTCAACGGAAGTTTCGAAACAAAATCCGTGTGAGCCCCGATGAAAACCCTCCAAACACCAACAATCGCTGTCACTTGCAACGTTGCATTTGTTCCCGCGGCGACGTAGCTGCCTGGAAAATAATAATCGGATTCGTTCGACGAGTAGTTTATCAAATTTTTACTGAAGTTTGGCAAATCCATATAATCTCCAGGAAATATTATAATGCATGGTGCTTTGAAGCGCTGGTTGGGTTGAAAATCAGCGATGAATTGCCAAAATTCAATTGTTTTGCGCTGAATCAAGTTTTTGCAATTGATTTCGTCGTTTGGAAACAATCGATTTATTTTAAATTCTGTTTCATTCTTAAATTTATCAACTTCAGTTTTGAACTGAGCCTTATGTTCTGCGGGTAACTCAAGAAGGTGATCCAAAAAATAAACTTTACCAATCAAATCGTCTATAGTTGGTAGAGTTTTAAAATAGTTTTTGAAATTAGCTGATTTGCCTTTATTTAATTGAGGATAAAACCAGCCATTGTAATCAGCGGCAGTCTTCACCGAGTAACTGAGGCCCGCGCTAACAAGAATATCAGCGTATGAAATTTGATAGATTTCTTTCCTCTGATACACTAAGTTCCACCTCGATGAAGTGAATGCGTGGATTAGGGCTCCTCCGCTCTCAACGAAATCACTTACAACAGATGAATTAACTGAATTAACTGTCTCCAGCTGTCCATAGCTTACCAACACATCACATTGTTCTCGCAAGCTGGATGATTCATTTGTTCCGACCTGTTGATCTAGCATACAAAATCTGAGAGAACTCTGTGTCTTGTTGCCTACTAACCACCTTAAAATGTTTTGGTAAAATTTCGAATTCGTGAAATTTTTTGACGGTTCAGTAATTTCCTTCCCGAAGGCGACGTGCGAAAAAACGACGATGCGGCCAGTTCCGGACTGAGCAGCTGCTACTACGGTGTCCTCTTCATTCTGTCCAGTTAAAATCGATTCCGAATTGTTTCCAAATACAATTATACGGCCAGCGTTTTGCTGGTTTTGAACCCTCTCAACGCCGGAAAGCATCTCATCCTGCCATTGCCATGTCTCCACTTCCACTGAGGATGGTCTTGAAGGGTTGCTGAATTTGGGAAAGAGTGGAAAATTTTTGATGAAGGTAATGCTTGTGGGAAGTGTAATCAAATTTAATTAATTAATTAATTATTTAATTAAATTAATTGATTAAATTAATTGATTAAATTAATTGATTAAACTTAAATTAAAATTTTTCAAAAAAAATCCAATCAAATAAGAAAAAACTTACTAGCAGCTAGTGAGCAGCAAAATATAAGACAGAGCACCTAAAAATGATACATTACCGTCAATCATTGAACCTTTTTACGTGATAAAAGGAGTTAAGGAAAAATTATTTCATTAATAGTCAATTTGTTGATTCAGTTCACAAAAAAAACATTTGGGCACTTTTTATACTCATATATTAAGATAAATAAATATGTATATAGGTTTGTGTGTTTATGTATGTATATGTATGTGTGTATGTATGTATATGTATGTGTGTATGTATGTATGTATATGTGTGTATGTATGTATATGTGTGTATGTATGTATATGTGTGTATGTATGTATGCATATGTGTGTATGTATATATTTTAGTTCGCTAACCTGCTTTCATTACGTATCTCACTATTATTATCTCGTGACTATTCAATATTATATTTATTTTTATTTATTTGTTTAGTTGTTGGTTTCGAAGTTATTGAGGCAATTAAGCAAGGCTTGGAAGAAGAAAAGTGAATGAGTGAGAGAGAAAGAGAAGGAGAGAGAAAGAGGAAGAGAAGAAGAAAAAGGGAGAGAGAGAATGTTTATCACCATTAAGGACTATTCCATTGGAATTAAAAATTAATTGAAAACTTGGCTGCCCTCTTCTAAGTGTGGTTTTATTCGAGAATCTAATGAATTTTTATTAAAAAATGATTAATTATGTTTGAAAAAAAGGTTAATTTTTCTAGAAAAGTGATAAATTTTGATTGAGAACTAATAAAATGGATTGAAATCGCAAAAAATTTCTAAATTAACGCAATTTTTTGATTAAATTTTACATTTTCTTTTTAAAAAATAAAGTATGGGACATAAAAAAAATACCCAGTATATACTACATTACCTTACATTTTTCTGTTCTCGCGCCAATATTTCATTTGCGTTACAAATTTCTACACTTAAATAAGTTCGATAATGGATGTGTGTTTTTGTATGTGTGTGTGTTTGTGTGTTGGCATATGTGTTTGAATGTGTGTGTGTGTGTGTGTTTGTTTGACTTAATAATTCCTGCTGTAAATGTTTCAAGATAGTCTATTATTACTACAATTAGTCATTTGAAGATGACGAAAATTTAATTACTAATTGTCAACAAAAGAAAACAAATAAACGAGAGAGAGAAAGAGAGAAAGAAAAAGAGAGAGAAAGAGAGAAAGAAAGAGAGATAGGGGGGTAGAGAGAACAACATAGAACGTTACACAACATCACATGCATTTATTTATGAATTCTGAACACAACACCAATGATGGTATTATAAGCATGATCCAAATATGTCTTTTAGATTATAAATTTTTTGCGTGTGTGTGTGTGTGCGTGTGTGTTTGTTTGTTTGTTTGTTTGTTTATTCCTTCATTAAAATTCACCATATTTATAAAAATGCTCATATAATCGATCATTAATATAGTTCGTCATAAAAAAAAAAGAATAAATGATTGATTGAATGAATGGATCGAAAGATGGACTGACGAGAGAATGAATGAATTAAATAGTTAATTAATAAACGAATGAATGAATGAACGAATGAACGAACAAAAAACCAATGAATGAATGATTAATTTCATTCATTTTTAATAAAATGTTAAAAATGTTCTCTACTTCTTCGCCAATACAATTGGTAAGTAATCGACTTACCGACTAACATCTCCGACATCTGGCGAGTGCTGAATGAGGTATAGATTTTTAATTTTACACACACACACACGCACACACACGCACACACACACACACGCACACACAGGCATACACACGCACACACACGCACATGTCAACCATGACGACGACGATGCGTAGCTGACAGTTGGCATGTTGATCTTATGGGAGAGTGAAAGAAAGATAAAAGAATGAATGCATGGATGAATGTATGTATGAATGAATGAATGAATGAATGAATGAATGAATGAATGAATGAATGAATGAATGAATGAATGAATGAATGAATGAATGAATGAATGAATGAATGAATGAATGAATGAATGAATGAATGAATGAATGAATGAATGAATGAATGAATGAATGAATGAATGAATGAATGAATGAATGAATGAATGAATGAATGAATGAATGAATGAATGAATGAATGAATGAATGAATGAATGAATGAATGAATGAATGAATGAATGAATGAATGAATGAATGAATGAATGAATGAATGAATGAATGAATGAATGAATGAATGAATGAATGAATGAATGAATGAATGAATGAATGAATGAATGAATGAATGAATGAATGAATGAACAGACAAACCGGTTAATAAATAAAATTATCAGATGTAATAAACACAAAATACAAAACACAAAGAAGTAAAAATACAAAAACGCGGCAAACAAGCCGAAAATCGACTCGCAAAAAAACTAAAATTTGAACAAACAAACGTTCATACAAACACACAAACATACGAGTGGACGAACAAAGAAACCAAATAATGGCGCAAACACCTACAAGACAACATTTCAACAGCAGTAGTGTTGGGAAACAGCTAGTCTGCTAGCCAGCAAGTAACCAATATCATTGCTACAAGAAGAAAACGCATTCATTCATCCATCATTCATTCATTCGTTCTTTCTTTCATTTTTTCGTTAATTTATTCATTCATTCATTCATTTAGGTTTACACATACGTAGAAACACACTACACGCACGCACACACATATAAGCACATACACACACACGCGCACATAATCCTACATACATACACACAAAGTCACATTAAACTGGTCAGCTAACACAACTCTCAGTCAAACACATGCAATTGTTGCTGTGTTATGGCTGTGTTGTTGTTTTGAATGTTTGTTCAGATGCCAAATCAGCAAAAACACCCTCATCATCACTATCTTTTTTCATCATCATCTCCATCATCAACATAAACATCATCATCATCAACAACAGCAACAACAACAATAACAACAACAACAGTAACAACAATTGACGACAAACAAAAGAAAGTAAGCCGGAAAAGTAGACCAAGGTTCAGTGTATCTATAATTATACATACATACATTCATACATACATACATACATACATACATACATACATACATACATACATACATACATACATACATACATACATACATACATACATACATACATACATACATACATACATACATACATACATACATACGTACATGCATACATACACACAAACATACACACATACATGCATGCATACATACATAATACCTTCAATCAATCATCACATTCATTCATTCAGAGAATGAACAGACCTCATTTATCTTAGAGTATAAATATCACGAATGTGTGTGGTGTAACATAGTACACAAAATATGAGTGAGTGAATGAATGAATGAATGAACGAAAGAACGAACGAACGAATGAATAAACACACACATACACACACACATGCCAATTATAATTAATGATGTATTCATTTGAGGTTTAAAGTTAAACCTCACAAAGCTAAACAAGTCTCTAATTATTAATAAGAGAGAAGGAGAGAAAGAGAGGGAGAGATAGAAAGTGAAAGAAAGAGAGTGTAAGAAAAAGTGAATATATAAATGAATGAATGAATGAATGAATGAATGAATGAATGAATGAATGAATGAATGGAGGAATGATGAATTTATGAATCAATAAAAGATGGAACTGTTAATGTATAAAATTATAATTGATGTTATGCAAATCATGTCACGAAACACTGCTATACACACAGATATACACAAATATTCGCATCAAAATACACGTAAAAATACGCCAAACACACCGCAATACTCACCGCAATACAATCCAAATACCCACCAAAACAAACCTACATGTAATCAAATGAATGCCTAAGCTCGACCAGACATACCGACAGACACACAGGAAGAAACAGAATAAGGTAAATCAGCTGTATTTGATTTTTAAAATTATGTGTGTTTATGTATGTATGTATGTGTGTGTGTTTGTGTTTGTATGTATGTATGTATTTTTATAATTTTATGGAGCAAATAAAATTTCGTTTCGTTTCGTTTCGTTTCGTATCGTATGAGTGTATGTATATATGCAGGCATGTTTTATTTCAAATCTGGATTTATCAGCAACATGTGTGCTGTGACGTAACGAAACTAATCAATTCGATAATAATAATAATTAAAAATTTCTTTTCATCTTCATAATCATGTTAATAAAATATAATTGTACATATATGCACCTCCCTTTCTTTTATTCTCTCTCTCTCTCTCTTTCTCTCTCTCTCAAACTATCTCTCTCTCTCTCTCAATATATATATATATACTAGTTTTTTTAGATATATAAATATATATATACGAATAATATATATATATATATATATATATTATATAGTTGAAACTATCTGATATACAGCCTAATATTTATAAAAAAAATATATAAACATATAGTTATATGAACGTATACATACATACATACATACATGCATACATACATACATACATACATACATACATACATACATTCATACATTCAGACAGACCTACAGACATATATACATATACAGATATACACACCTATATATAAAGGGAGCGAGTGTTCTAAGCAAATATTTTGAAAATTGTTGAGAGTTGGGATTGTTTCTAAAGAGAATTCATCAATTTTGATTGTGCTTGTACGTACGTGTGTTTATGAATTTCGGATGCAGGTTTGTATGCTTGTTTAAGTCTAGCTTATGTATGTTTATGAATGTCTGTTTAAAAATTAATCTAAAGTAAAATTCTTCAATTCACGTATAGTATACTACTGATAGCCCATGACGACTTGCAACTGTCATACGATCATTATTAACGGATTAATTAATAAATTAACTAATTAAACCAATTAAACTTTTAATATTTAGCTATTTTTATCAACCTGTTTGTATATAACTATGGCTGAAAAATTACTTCGCAACCATAATAATAATAGTGATAGTTCGTTTTTTTATTTCAACTGACAACAAATAAATAGCAAAAATATTGGATTACTACTACCACTACCACAACTGCCTCTACAACTGCCACTACACTTACTACAGACTACTACAGCCGATCGCGGTTACTACAACGGACGACAAAGCTGATAATTAATCAAGGAATTAATAAACTACTACCCAACTAAATTCAACAAAGCATCTATCTATCTATCTATCTATCTATCTATCTATTTATCTATCTATTTATCTATCTATTTATCTATCTATAGATAGTATTACTACTAATTAGTCATAGTAAAATACTTTACATAACTAAAATACTCTACTAACAAAACCAAAATGATACCTAGATCGCTAATAGCACCACAAGCAAGCATAATGGATCTAATAACATTTTCAGTCCTAATCTTTTCGCTAGTGACCATCTCAGCCAATCAGCAAGACGGATTTTATTTTGACCCCTCCCCCACCGACCAGCACGTGATCGAAGGAGAGGGCGTTATAATTAGATGCGGGGTGTCCAATAACGATAGGATTAGGATTCACTGGACCTACAATGGCAGGCCCTTGCATAATGTCAGCCGGAGGTTCGAACCCTTTGTTTGTATGTATGTCTGCTTGTATGTGTGTTAGCATGCTTGCTTCTTTGTTTGTATGTCTGCTTTTGTTGTATGTACGTGTTTGCAGTACTGAACACACACACACATACATACAAACAAACAAACACACGCATACAAACACACATACACAGATTCCAGCACGGCAACGACTTACATTTTCTCTGGGTGAAAAAGGAGTTGGACAATGGAACATTCAACTGCATAGCCACCAATACCTCAACTGGAGTACCACTAACCAGCCAAGGAGCCAAAATACACATCTTATGTCGGTAGATTCGGTTTTTTCACTTATAATTGTCGGTATTTGGTTGTAATTGCGATTACTTTATTGTCAGTTTATTGTTACAAATCTTGGTTTTAGTAATTTTTTTCTCTATTTTATTTTGTATTTTTTGGAGTTTGGTCATAATTTTTGGTGTTATAACATAATTATCTGTATCTTGTTATAAATGATAGTATTTTATTACAACTTATTAAAATTTTCTGATTATTTATATTAAACTTATCGTTTCAACACTATTAGTTATTAAACCGTGACAGGGGTGGGCAAACTTTTTTCTGTGAGGGCCGTATTGAGAACTGTTTAACCTTTGAAGGGCCGCATATGTACTTAAATAGCAAATTTTTTCGACCCGGGGAGAAATTTTTTAAGCTTTGTGGCTCCTCTTTTTGGTCATAATGTCTGGCTGACGAACTTTTTGGCGAACAGGGTCTCGCGGGCCGCATGAAATAGCATCATGGGCCACATGCGGGCCGTCGTTTGCCCACTCCTGAACTATGATGTTGTGTGCGTGCGTGCGTGCGCGTGTGTGTAAGATATTTTCAGCATACTAGCTCAAAATGTCAGTTTTGTAAAGGTGAACTGACACGCATGCATATAATTATATTATTAATTTTATATCGAGAACGATGTATGGAGGGACGAAAGAATGAATGAGTGATGAATGAATGGATGGAAAAGGAAAAATAAATGAGTTAAGACTGAATGAATGAATGAAAAAAATTTGGATGAGTTAATACCAAGTCTATGGTTAATACAAACACATACATACATACATACATACATCCACATTTTGATTATAAACAAAACAAAATTGTTTATAAGATGTTTATGGCGTTGTTTAATTTATTAACATCGTTAGGATGATATAAATAATATGATTATGCAAACACACATACGTACACACACATACAAATACACATACATACATATACAAACATACATACGTACACACACACCTACATACATACAAACACACATACATACAAGTGAACGCTAAATTTAATTTACCCTTATATATAATCAATTTGCATATGAAAGTGGAGTAGATATGTATATACAAATTATACACGCACGCATACACCCACACACATACATACATACACAAACACACATATATACATACACACACACATACAAACATGTTAAAACATCGTACAAACATACGTATATACAAAATATGAAGTGCTTTCATGGTTGTCTGTTCACCCACTTTGGCTTGTATGCCGTGTTTTTTTTGATGTGGTATTATAGCAATTTTTTTTTTTGTAATTTTTTTGTTATCTTAGTATGTTTGTTTGTATGTTCATGTTTTTGTGCCCGTATGTATGTTTGTTTGTATGTGCATGTTTGTATGTGCATATTTGTGTATTTGTTTTTGCAAATGTATGCACGTACGTGTTTGTATGTGCATGTTTGTATCATGGATATCTAAATAATACTATTATTGAGAAGTTCATGTTTTGTATGTATGTATGTTAGTATGTTTGTTTGTTGTTTAATATTAGCTTATTACGTAATGGTTATAAACTCACATGTCAAAATTTTTAATTAAGTCACTGCTAAAGAAGAACAATATTAATTAATTAATAATAATAATTATTATTATCAATAATATTTTTAAATTTTATTATTAAATAATAATTTATAAAATATATTTTATATTCTCTCCGGTATAACAATAATTAAAATATGTTTGTTTGTGTGTGTTTGTGTGTATGCATATTTGTATGTGTGTGTGTGTGTGTTTGTGTGTATGCATATTTGTTTATATGTGTGTGTGTGTGTTTGTGTGTATGCATATTTGTTTGTATGTGTATTTGCGCGCATCCTATCTTCGAAAATAATTCACATGTTTATTGCATCAATACCTATTAGATTACCATTGAATTTATGTGCGTGTGGATTTATATATGTATGTGTTTATGTACGTGTTTGTGTGTGTGTGTGGTTTTGTGTTTTATATCGTTACGTATTAAGGTCTCACCAACTCAAGGTTTACTTTAAACACGCATTGTCTATAAATTGCTTATGTTTATCTATGTGTGTGTGTGCGTGCGTGCGTGTGTGTTTATTTTATGTTGTTGTTGATGTTATTAATGTTTTTCTTATTATTATTGTTATTATTATTGCTATTGTTGTTTGCGCCGAAGCTCTCTTATTTGTGATTAACACAACAATAAAGAGATAGCTTGTTAACCAATATTAATAATAATTAAAACAACAACAATAATAATAATTGTTATTGTTATTATTGCTATTGTTATAACTTCTTTGATTCTCTTACTACTGTTAAAGGTTTGAACGCTAGTGCCGCGACTACTACGGCTTCTATTGAAGCTGTTGTAGTAGTGGTAGTGGCGATTGTAGCAGTATTAGTGGAAGTAGTAGTAGTAGTAACAGTTGTGGTTCTAGTAGTAGCATCATTACCAGTTTTAAGACAATGGGCGTTCGATTGTTGGCTGTGTTGTTGTGCCTAGCTGAACTGCAATCAGGATCACATTAATTTCTCATTTAACTCTAAATTGAGTTTGCCTTTTGTATGCGTGTGTGTTTCATGTGTGTGTGTGTGTGTGTGTGTGTGTGTGCTTCGTGTAAGTGTTCGTTGTTTATTTGAATTTGTGTGTGTTGTGTATGTGTGTGTGTGTGTGTGTATGTGTGTGTGTGTGTGTGTGTGTGTGTGGTAATGCGTACTTGTATGCTTCCTTTTCATTTTATTTCAAAATCATTGATTGATTGATTGGATGAATTCTGTTTGGAATGTAAACATCGTAGAAAGGTGATTAGCATAGATTAGTAGGTGGAGAGTGAGTGAGATGGATGGAGGGAAAGTATAAAATGAAAGAATAAAAAGTGAGAAGGTGGGTGAGAGAGAAAGAGAAGAGAGAGAGAAAGAGAAGAGAGAGAGTTAAATTTATTATGTGCTCAGTCGCCAATTTTTTTTTTGTTCTAACACCTCTCTTTAGTTGTTCATCACTCTAAAAATCATTTAATTTTTCTGTCCGTCTATCCTCCACTTTATTTTTGTTTATTCATTCTTCAATTTTTCTATCTGTCCATCCATCCACTTATTTATTCATTTCAACCTTCCGAAGAATCACTTCAATCCTTCAATCAATTTTTCGACCATAAATTCATCTTTATAGCATCATTTGTTTACTCATGCAAGCATTCATTCATTCATCCTTTCATCTACTCATTCATTCATTTATTCATCCAAGCAGCCAGCCAATGATGTTGTTCCATTTGAACGCTTCTTCCCAGCGAGTCCACAGAGAAACATAAAAAAAATAAAAAGGAGGAAAGCACTACGCATGCAAGATGAACGAGAGAAAGAGAGAGAAGAAAAGAATTAGAGAGAGTGAGAAAAAGAGAATGTATTGAAAGTTTACATAAGGGATAGAGAGAGAGAGAGAGAAAGCATTATGATGTCATTACGCAAAAGTTGAGGAAATGAAAAATGAATGAATGAATGAAAAAGGAAGAAATGAAAAAGGTCAAATAGAGAGAGAGAGGGAGAGGGAGAAAAGAAAGATATAGAGGTAGAATGCTCTGCTTTTTCAATCGAACATGCTAACAATTACCGTCCTTTGAAGCCTTACATACACACATACATACATACATACGTACATACATATACACATGCACACACACTTTTTTAAATATAAATTTTTAACTTATGATACAACTCACTAAATTATTCAAATAAAACAATCCAATCGAATTCACTTTTCAATTTTTCTAACCAACAAAAAAAAATTCTTAAAATCCGCATATTAGGGATAAGCAGTCAGTCAGAAGTGCAGTTAATTCAACCCGCGAGCCAGGATGACGTCAGAGACGGAAGCAGGGATGTGCTGATGCAGTGTCGAGTGGCCGGCAATGAAGAGCCGACCGTTGAATGGTTTAAGAACAAAATTAGGTATTATCATTATTATTATTTATATTGCTGTGATTGATAACATTATTGTTGTTATTATTATTGTTATTATTATTATATACAGAACATTATATTGTATATCTTATTTATTTACACTCTGGTATATAATTAATAATTTTCGATTGATTTCATTTGGATTTTATTTTTTTCGGTGAATAAAAGAATTTTCCCATTATATCCTAATGACGTCACAAATCAGCGTGACGTCATCGTCAATCATTCCTCATAGTCTTCATCTCCATCATAAACTCCCTCGCCATCATCCAGACTCTACACGAACGATCAGCTCAAACTGAACGGTGCCATGTTGAAGATCTTAAAAATTTCCACGCAAGATGGCGGGGTGTATTCTTGCAAGGCGAAAAATTTGGCGGGAACCGTCTGGAGTTCGAAGGATTTTGTGGTTAACGTAGCAGGTTTGTTTTTATTATTGTTGTTTTATTATTGTTGTTATTGTTGTTGTTGATGTTGAATATTGTCGCGTGCATGTTTTCGGTTGTGATAATTGTTAATGTGATATTATTATTTTATTATTATTTTGTTATTGTTGTTGTTATTGTTTAAGTTGTTGTTGATTTCATTGTGGGAATGTTGTTGAATATTGTCATGTGCATGTTTTCGTATTGTTGTCGTGTTATTGTGATAATTGTTAATGAGATATTTTTATTATTTTATTATTATTATTTTGTTATTGTTGTTGTTATTGATTTTATTGTTGTTGTTGTTGTTGTTGTTATGGAAATATTAAGGACATGTCACTAGTATAGAATTAGGAGGATAAATCAACGTTGAAGTTTTTTATTACTGAGAGTATGTGTGGGTCCTTGTTTGTTTGTATGTGTGTTTGTATGTGTGTTTGTATGTGTGGGTCCTTGCTTGTTTGTATGTGTGCTTGTTTGTATGTGTGTTTGTGTGTGTGTCGTCCTTGCTTGTTTGTATGTGTGCTTGTGTGTGTGGATCCTTGCCTGTTTGTATGTGTGTTTGTGTGTGTGGGTCCTTGCTTATATGTATGTGTGTCTGTCTTTATATGATGCTACTAATTTTTTAAATAGATGGAGTGTCGTTTTGAATTACTTTATGATTGATTTATTATCTCCATTTGTTTTATTCTATTAATTTATTCATTCCTTCATTCATTCGTTCCTTCCATCATTCACTCATTCATTTTGTACACTTTCATTTCTTTTTTGCTTCATTTCCCCCATCCTTTGTTCAGGTTTTTCATCTTTCTCTATTCGCGAAATAGACAAATGTGTATGTACCTTGTGTGTGTGTGTGCGTGCGTGTGTTTGTGCGTGCGTGCGTGTGTGTGTGTGTATCATATCATTTCTAGAAAATTGTATTGCTTGCACAGAAGTTCATTGTTTTGTGTGTATGTAATATGTACATGTCCAGTTTCGTTTCGTTTTGTTATGTTTCGTTTTGTTTTGTCTCGTCTCGTCTCGTTTGCGTGGATGTTTCGGTGTGCAATTAATTGAAACTTGGCATTACCTTGCACGCCATCAATCATCGCGAAAACTAATTTATGGTTTCCATGTCTGCCTTCAATTCCACCTAGCTAGGCTGCTATTGATGTTCTTGACGCACCACTACTATTACTACTATCACTGCTGCTGCTGCTGCTACTACTACTACTGCTGTTTCTAGTACTGCTATCATTACCACTACTTCATTCATTTCAGTTCTGCTAATAATAAAGAATTGTCGATTGCCATTTTAACTTTGGGTCTCTTTATGCAAATACGATGTATTATACTTAAGCACAGTCTGTCTCTCTCCCTCTCTCTCTCTTTCTCTCTCTCTTCATTTTCATTTTATTTCGTTAGTTTTTAGTTTTTACTTTTATCTGTCAAACTATCTATATACCTGTGTTGCAGTCATTTTTTATTCTCTCTTTCTCTCTCTTTCCTTCACTATCTCTCTCCCTCTCTTTCTTTCTTTCTCTGTTGCTTTTGCTGTTCAGCGTCCACGTTCGTTCGTGTTTCTTGTATGTTTGTTTCTTTATACTTATAGATTTTTGTATGTGTAAGGTAATTTTGTAGGTATGTTCGTTTGTTTGTATGCTTATGTTAGTGCGTGTGTGTGTGTGTGTGTTTGCGCGTGTGTGTGTTTGCGCGCGCGTGTGTGTGAATGTTTACATTTAATTTAATGTTATTCAAAATCCTGGTGACATCTAGAACAGTGCAAACGTCTGGCGTGTTGTGTGTGTTATGTATTTGTGTGTGTGTGTGTATGCGTATGTTTGTTTGTATATACATTAAGTGTATGCAAGTTTGGCATGTAGGTTTCTTATAAAACACGAATAGGAAGCATCGAACGTGCACTGTTTTTGTGTGTGTGAATGTGTGTGCCTGGGTGTTTGTTTGTGTGTGCGTGCTTATATGTTTGTTTATACGTGAGCGTGTATGCGTGTATCTTTCAAATGGAGAACGATGTGCTTAAATCCTTTCAGAGCATGACACATGCAAGTTAATGATGATTTGTGGATAGATGAATGAGAAGATGGATGGATGGGTGGATGGATGGACGCAGGAGAAATAAAACATACAAACATACACACAAACAAACGTACATACAAACTGACATACATACAAACACATACACAAACAAACATTTTTCTGCATGCATGTCTATACCTCGATAAGAAGTCAAATATGCTTTCCATTATCTTGTAGTCTTTGGTTCAACGCATTTTGACCATACGTTCTTTTGTTTGTATGATTGTATGTATGTATATATGTATATATGAGTATGCATGTGTTTACTTTGTATGTATGTGTGTATCTCTTTTTGTCTGTGTGTTTGTTTGTTTGTATGTATGTGTGAACATAAATTATTTCAATGGAAAAAACATGTAAATCATTAACTCCAAATGAACGTAGCATCGTCGGCCTAGTACAATATTTACAATAATAATAATAATAATATGATTAGCAATAACAATAATAAAAATAAATATTATTATTATTATAAATGATGGTAATGATATCAAAAGTTAGAAAACATTGAAATCTTAATTTTAAGGTTTTTTTTTTTGAAATTTCGTATTTAATGGATAAGGTTTTGTTTAATCATTCGTTCGTTCATTCATTAATTCATTATTCATTCATTCAGCTACTCATTCATTCATTCATTCATAAACAGCATCCTAATATAAAGCCTTCAAAACTGCATTACTGGCACGTTCCTGTCGAACGATCGTTGAAATTTTCCGTGGAATACAGACTCACGTACACACATGCACACCGTCACTCACACACACACACACAGCACGCATCATTATCATTCACACATATGTATCGTCACTCACACACATGCATCACCATTCACACACAACACACATCGTCACACACACACACACATGCATCCTCATACACACACAAATATATACTACACACACAAATATATACATACATACATACATAAACAAATACATACATATAAACATACATACAAACAAACATACATACAAACAAAAGTGATTCAACACGTTATTTTTATTAATTATTTTGCACCAGTTAACTTTTTTCAAACGAAAAAGTAAATTTCTGTGTGTATATATGTGAGAAAGAGAGAGAGAGAGAGAGAGAGAGAGAGAGAGTGTGTGTGTGTGTGTGTGTGTGTGTGTGTGTGTGTGTGTGTGTGTGTGTGTGTGTGTGTGTGAATCTCACTCTTCATTCGACGGTTTCTTTCAGCGGTAGCCAATTTTCTCTGAATTTATGCCCCTAACGATATCTAAATCCTTTAAGAATTATGTTTGTGTGTGTGTACGTGTATGTTTGTGTACGTGAATTTGTACGTGAAAAGATGTATAGTGTGTATGTGTGTACATGTGTGTGGTGTGCTTGTATGTGTACGTCAGGCTTCAAAAGCTTAACAACATAATATAAATATTTAAAATCATTAATTTCTTCCGGCACAAACTCAACTCGGAATCATTATCACACATCATCGAAACATCATTATCATTACCACGTTATCTTTATCCTCCTCATCATCATCATCACAACATCGTCGTCGTCATCATCATCATCATCAGTTTTCATTACCAAATTTAAAATATGGGGGAATGTGAGAAATCGCAATCAAACTACAGATCATAAATAGAAACAAAGAATAATAAAATTATTATTATTATTGTTATTATTATTCTTTGTTATTGTTATTATTATTCTTTGTTATTGTTATTGTAAATAACGGCACTGTATAACTTTTCTTTGTTGCCCAACTTTTTAATATAGCAGTTTATTATAAAGTTTTAACAACTGACCAAACTATGTGTTTTTGTATGTTAGTATGTATGTATATATGTGTATGTATGTTAGTGTGTGCGTGCGTGTGCGCGTGTAGTTGTCTAATGCACATATCATGTTCTGATTGGTCTGTGGTTAATTAGGTTCCTCTTAATTTCAACATCAAAAGAATCAATGCTAATCACGCTCTCCTTGGGTTGTGTTTGTATGTTTGCGTGTATGTATGTCGTTTGTATGTATATATGTATATACGTGTGTTCGTTTGTATGTTTGTTTGTATGTTCGTATATATGTGTTTTCGTTTGTATGTTTGTTTCAATATGTGTGTGCTCCTTTGTATGTTTGTATATATGTGTTCGTTTGTATATATGTTTGTTTGTATGTCTGTATATATGTATGTTCGCTTGTATGTTTGTTTGTATGTGTGTTTTTGTGTATGTATTTATTTTTTTTTAACATTTAGTTCGGATGGTAAACATCAATATAAACAAACAGTGAATGATAAATATAAACAATACATAACAAACATAAACCATAGACAACAAACATAAACAAAAGATACGAAAACATAAACAAAGATACATTAAACACTGTTATCAGCATCGGTAGCAAAGATAACAAACTGAAACTATATTTATCTGCTCATAATAATCTATGCATAGAATCGAAACAGGTTATAACAACATCCTTCTGTGAGCAATAAATTGAATTTAAACAAGAATAAATAAATTATTAAATAAAAATAAATAAATACATAAATACAAACATGCATTCATACATACATACATACATGCATACATACATTGTATATGAAGGCTCATTATTTAGTAGACCATAAAATCTAAAAACTGGAAGGAAGGAAAAAAATAAAGCGTTAAATTAATTTATCTTTGGTTTGTTTGTATGTGTGAGGATTATTATGGTGATGGAATGAATGAATGAATGAATGAATGAATGAATGAAACAACATATCAACACATCACTAATATCAACCTACACATGTTCATAAATTACTATTGTTATTGTTGTTGCGATTGTTGTTAATATGTTTAGTGTTGTTGTTGTTATTCTTATTCTTATTATTCCCTGAACATCCGGTGTCAGCTTACGGAAAAAGCAATTACAACCCCGACGTAAATTTTAATGTTCGTAATGCGAGTGCAACCAACCAACCAACCAGCCAGCCAGCCAGCCAGCCAACCAGCTAGCCAGCCAGCCAGCCATCCAGCTTACATTAATAATCAATATCACTTAATTATGCTATTAATCAATTGAAACAAGACAGACATGCCCTGCTCAAGCTGATATTTAGCACAAATTTAAAAATTTGAAAACGTTTCTGTTTATAATTTTACACAGACACAAAACAATTGAATAGAAATACTTTAGAAAACAAATAGTTAACAAAAATAGAACACAAGACCCATCGTATTTTTGTAATCAAAACTAGGACATTGACGGAACTGGACCGTAACCGAAAACCGTTAAAAACCGAGATTTTACTTGCTTGGAACAAAAACCGTAACCGAACCGAAACATTGTTTGCTAATTTAACCGAAAACCGTAACGAAATAAATAACGGTTCGATGCTAAAAATGTGAAAGAAAATATTTTTGTCAAATTCAGAAGAAAAAAAATATTTTGATAAAATTTTGCCTTTTGAAATTCTATATTAATTTTTATTATCTTTGAAAATTTGTTATCTCTCTTTTCGCTCGTTTTTCCGTCTGAGTTTGCCGATAATTTGACTAAGAGTTGCCACGTGAAGAGAAATTCAGTAATAATCAGAGAAATTAGAGATCAAGTGCGATCATCTTCAAAATTTTGAAGTACCAGCTACACAAGTGAGCCTGGAAAAATCTGTTTTTAGATTAAAATTTATCTTCAGAGACTGCAGAAGTGGTTTCAATAAAAACATTATAAAAGATATATTAATAATCAGAAAAAATGTCATCTTATTTGAAACAATCTTATATTTATATGAGGGATTTCAAAATATCTTTGTAATGATTGTTTCAATTTTTTAGAAAAAAAAACATTAAATACATTTCCGTATGTCCGTTACTTGCGTTTAAGGAAATATGCTTGTAAAAATTAAGTTTCGGAGCGCGAGCGAAACCGAAAAATAAAAAACCGATATACATGCATATGTATATGTGTATCTATGATTTGTTTTTTTTTTTATAGAAATTAATTTTATTTTCTTTTCAACTATGTGTAATGTGGCTTTACTTGATAGGTTACTTGTTAACTTTTTATGGTCATCCTGTCTTCTTTTTTTCTTTGTTTTGGAGACAAATAAAATGTATGTATGTATGTATGTTTGTATGTATGTTTGTATGCATGTGTTTGTATGCATGTTTGTATGCATGTGTTTGTATGTAT